GGCGAACCTTCGAACTTTAGGCAACATTCGACGAACTTCGAACTCTTACACAGTATTGCCCAATTTCCGAAAAAAAAAAAAAATCTGAAGTATCCGAGAAAAAAAAGATGTCTGTTTTGAATTCTACACAATCAAGAATACATTTTACTATGTGCCCAGGAACAACCGTGCGGACAGTTATGCGTAAACTGAAAACACCAATACAAAAACACAGCGTATACATTGACAATACATACACTACTGCAGATTGAGTGGAAAATACAGTCCGATAATAATAATTATCGAACTGTGTTATATATTATAAAATAATAATAATATTAATATATTTTTAAAAAGGGCGAAAAATAACCATAATGGCCTTTAGATTAATGCACTTTTACAAAAACGCCATAAAAACAAATATATAAAAAAATCACACTAAAGACACTCTAATACAAATAAAACACAAAACACACGCAATTCTTAATTTGTAAGTAAAGTTACTCAACAAGCCGCGGAACCCGGAGGCTGATGTACAGATGTCGAGATCAGTAGTGGCGACACTTATAATGCGCCTGTATCCGAGAAAGGGTTGAAATGTTGCATGGTGAACGAATATATAAAAAAAATATTCTGGTAGAGCGAAAATTAACACGAAAATTAATTTTACGCAGTGGATGAACCGAAGCAATAATTACCATTATTCACATAAAAATCAAGCATATCTACTTTTTTATGTGTTTTAGATTTTATATATAAACTTTTACTGATTTAGTTAGTTTGACGACAGTCCTCCAGATCCTTTCCGGCAGGTGCATGGTGCCATTCCGTTTTTAATTTACGCGCATACGGGCACAATGAAGGTGAACGTTCGGCAGCCCTCTGCCTGGTCAGGAGTAGACATGAAGCGAAAAACGGGGACTCTAACCAAAAAATTAATAAACATTTACCCGACGTTTCGGGACCAGTTCGGTCCCTTGTTCACGGGTGAGTGACGGAAAGAAAAGAACACGTGTCGCCTAAGTGCACATACGGACGTAGGGGGCTTTGCTCACGTCACGCAGTCCCGAGACGTAGCTGCTGGGCAGGGAGCCCGAAGAACGATTCACGTTCCCCTTTGTGTGCTGCATAAACCAGGACTGAACGAAGAGCCTCTTTCGCCAATTCCTCTCCAAGGCCAGCACGGTGCTTCCCTCGAAGTCGACAGTGTGGCCGGCTGCTTCTGCGTGCTCCGCGAGGGCGCTCGCCTCCACATCCTTCTTCCGGACATCATATTTGTGTCGCGCAACCCTCTCTGCGAAGTTCTTACTTTCGCCAACGTATGAGGCCGTATGACGTATGAAGCCCGTGTCAACAATCGGTTATCACCTCCCCCTCCCGAAGGATCGGCCCCCCAAAGAAAGGGCCCAAGGCTTGGTCTACCGCATACCATGCAAGGATTGCCCGGCCGCATCATCCCGACTGCCATTTTCAATACGGGATGCCGTTTTGCACTCCTGTACGGGAGGCCGCACGTCACAAACGGTCTGGGAGACCCAGCAAGGTGGGCAGCGATCGCCGGCAACTTGCTGGTTACGACGCGCGAAGGTCAGTACACGAGACCTTTCTTGCCGACATTAACAAGTTTAAAAAGGTCACTCTGGACCAAAGACATGCTTTCTTCTCCCAGTTACAGCATTTCGTTGAAATGCTGTAACATGAAATAAAAATAAAAATAAAAAAATGGTTACTGTGTCTTGGTAACGTCACAAGCGCGAGCTACTTGTGTTTCTGCGTTGCGGCGGATACACCATATTCTAAATCTCGCTAGCGCAACGTAACGTAAGCTCTAAACTTAGCGCTAAGGTGCGCTAAAACTGCGTCCGTTATTCCAGGGACTCCCGCTAGAACAGTCCGCGACTGAGCAAAACATTATTGCCCCAGCATCCTGACAGCGTACACCCCCAAAGCTCACGAAGCGTTGCATTTGCGAATTAATCCCGCTCGCCACTGAGCACCAAAAAAGCGGTGCCCGCAAGACCCTCGGAAATTGTGATGTCGATACTCTCTAAGCCTATGGCGTAACTAGCGGGACGAGAGCGCGACACACATTTCCTTGAGCGTCGAACTTTAAGAGTGAAGAGAGACACCCTCCCCGCGCAAACTTCACGCTTCACCGCGCCCTATTCATCGCGAATCTTATGTGTGTATATGCGTGTGTGACGACGTGGGCGAAGCGGCCGCTATTACAATACATAAGCACTCGGGGAAGTGGTCCCGGCTGGACCTCGGCTCGCCGAGTGCATGCGGTCTCTCCAAGTGGGCCGCATATTTGACCTTGGACAAAAGAAGGAAAAGAAAAACTGCCGATGTGGGATGATTTGTCCGTCAGCCTTCGGAGCCTGTTTGCAGCGGAAAAGGCGCGAAGGCGCGACTGTGGCTTGAACGGGAACTTAAAAGTGTCTGACGTACACGCTGCCATCTTCGTCCATTGGGCTGTGGAACGCTTTCTGAGCATGCGCAGTTGCTCTCTTCTGCAGAATCGTCACGCATGCGTCCACGGCCCAATATCTTTTTTTCTTTTTTTTTGTGCACCATTTGTGGGCACCGCTGCACAAAATTGTAGCTTAAGAAATCGAATTTTACGGTCGATTTCAAGAGCCTGGCCGCCATTTCGGGCCACCCGGTAGGTGCCTGTGTCTCCAACGCACTCGTCGAAAGCGTAAGAACGCGGAACGCCGGCATCCGGCCTTTGGCTTTGGCATTTAAACGCCTTCGACGAGTGCAGTGAAGGCAAAGGCAGCCTTTGTCTCGACTTCACTTGTGGAAGCCGTTAGAACGCCGAACGCTGTCGTCTGGCCTTTGGCTCTCGCCTTCGAGTGCGTTCCACGATAGCATCGGAGACTAGGGCAGCTGTGGCTTTAGGTCTATAGACTACTCGTCTCCTCCTCTCCCTCATTTTGTACTCGTATACACATGCCTCGTACGATGCCTCTTGATGAGCTCTGTTAAAAACTGTGTCCCCCCCCCCCCCCAAAAAAAAAGAAAAAAAACAAAAAACCTGAAGTGCTTGCACACAGACGCATAATGAGGCCCTCCGCAACGATAGCAAGTGATGCTCTTCGATGAAGCTTCTTTGGCCACGTTGATACCCATCGGACGCCACTTGACATTTTCCTTGTTTCATTAGCAAGTTCGAATCGTTCTTCGCGGTTTCCATCGCTAGTAGAAGCTGTATCCCATCCTCGTCGCCAATTTGTTATAAGCTTTCCCGAGTAAATCGGGGGACAGGAAGAAATGAACACCATCGTTCTCAGCGTGCGTGTGCAGGCAGCTCGAGATGCCAGACACTTCTTGTCTTTATTCTCGCGCCACGGATGCATGGCGCCGCTAGCATCATCATCACAATGATGGCGACGCTACAATGCGGAGAGCGAATTGTCCGCTTCTTGCGCACGAATTCCGGTGACATCAGAACGACGCCAAGCTCCGATTGGCTAGCTCTTGATGGCAGATGCCTCGAGGCATAGCCTCCCTGACAAAGCCTGGCAGATCGCCAGGAAAAGCGGCCGCCGAACTGGAAAAGGTGGAGCGGCAGACAACGGATGAGAGGAGAGCCACGTGACTGGCGCCCCGCTGTGGCGAGACGCCGAAACATACTTCTCCCGAGCGAACAAGTGTATTTCGGGTCCTCTCCGCTGCAAGAACTGTGCGCTGACTTCCAGGTTCCCCGAGAAATGGCTCTTTGATGCTCTGTGTTACCAAATCCTCGCGCTGCAAATCTGCGACCGGGCACACTATAGCTATGGCTCCGTCGTCGAACTGTCAAGCTTTGTGAGTATAGAGGAGGCTATGCTCGAGGTCTACCGACTATGTTTTTTTTTAATCAGTCAAAAAGAGCTCGGCGTTCTGACATCATCAGAAGCGGACGATCTTTCTCTCCGCATAAAATATAGAGCCGCTAAACACTTGTATATACGTTATGGGTTTTAAGCGCGGTAACTGGGAACCATACGTTTTTTTGTTTTTTTTATGCATGTATAAAAGTTATTTAAAATCTGCTGCATGGTATACGTGCAGCAAAAGAGGCTTTGCCCTCCAATAGAAATATGGTGTCAATACGTCACTTAGTACGGACTCGGTGTTTCCCTGACGTCACAGAATGCTGGGAGGGGCGTCCGCCTGCGCCTTTTTGACATCAACAGAACAGGGTTGCCAGCTGAACGCTGACGCAGCACTCGCGACTAATCTGTGCCTTGTGCTCGATTGAGGTAGATCATGTCAAGAATCGAACGCACGGGCCTTGTTTTTGGGTAAACGCCGAGCTGTGTGGCTAACGAGCCGGATAAAACGAAATACTTCCAGATCGATCTCCTCGCCAGATCGATCTCCTCAACATTTTCGTACGAAACTTGGGAAATCTCTTCCTAGAGTTCTAAACCAAGTATATATATTTTTTAAAAGTCTCCAAAGATTTATTATCGCGAAAGCGTAATAATAAAACATAATTAATATTTGTTTTATTATTAAGCTTCCGCGATAATGAGAATAGCATCGCCCCCCTCGCCCAACGCCATGACTTGACGGGGACAAGTGAATGTTCGAGAATAGTTTCTGCATATGTGCTATTTTTTATTATTCATAAAGTAGGAAAACATAACAAAACCTTGCTTCCATCGTAAACCGGAGACACGGAAAAATAAAAAAACGGACAAAACAACAACAAGTCTCAAACACAGCTTCTGTGTTTGAGACCAGTTGATGGAAGTTCTTCACCAGCTCGCCTGTGCTTTTACCCTTTCTTCGTTAAAACCTTGCTGCACGCACGCAAGCCCCCGCACCATGGGGCACTCGAAAACACCAATCAGGTATTCATTCAGGTCAACTAGTTAGAAGAGCAATCGGACCTACGCAAACGTGGCAAAGTAAAAAAAAAAAGATTTTCTTTTTACAAATGATTGCGGTTTTGAATGAATCCCTGGGCATTAGAAGAGCTTCGAAGATTCGCTTTTGTAGAAACACACTGTACAAGCTCAGTCCACTCATGGAAGCTCGGATTCATTCCACAGCTGCATTACACTGCTGCCTGCCGTTTTCGTCGCAATGCGCTGCTTCATTCTGTCGATCATTTCCTGCGCGAAAAAGTTTTTCCAGTCTCCCACTACGCCTTTGCGAACGAAATCACCGGTCATCGGCTTCTTGACTGCAGCTTCCAGCGACTCTTTGTCCAGTTTCAGCGGTCCGTCAGCGACCGATGCCGCCGGGACATGAGGCCCCACCGTCTTGCACGCGTCGTTAAACGCCTTTTTCATATTCGACACGCTGGATACGTCCACTATGCGTTTCAGTACCGTCGGGTCACATCTCAAGCTCTCGCCGTACTCAACGCCCAGGAAATCGGCCATCTTCAGCACCCAGGATTCCGTGTCCTTCTTGAGGTTTTCGTACGTCACGAAGAAGACGTTGGGATCATCCCGATGATTGTACCAGGACAGCAGCTGGTCGAAGAAGTCGCCGCATTCCCCTTTCCCTTCGACAAAGACGTCAAAGAACTGGTCGAAGGTACCGTCCTCGAAGTAGTAAGCGGGCAAGGCCTTGGTGTGGTGGTAGTAAGAGACGCAGCAGTCGTAAGGGTTCCTAGTGATATAGAAGTACTTTGCTTCCTTCGAGTAAGGTTGCTTGTCGAACGGGAGGTGGGTCTTAATGGCGCCTGGTCTGGGCATCCTGTCGGGGCCTTGAGCTCCGCTGTACTCCAGGAAGGGTGTCTTGGCCTCGAAGTCCGCCCTGTCCACCGGGGGCACGCCGCCGCTGAAGATGTTGAAGAGGAGGTACTGCATCCAGGTGGTACCGCATTTGGGATAGCCGACGATGAACACGTCGTCTGACCTCGGCTTGTAGGCGAGGGCTGAGCGAACGCTCTCGTCGCTGAAGTAGTAGCTGAGGACGAGCCCCTCGATGTCTCTGCAGACCGGGGTTGGCTTGCTTGCCGCTGGCATCTCTGCTTGCTCGGTACCCGACTGGAGGCTACCGGTCCTGCAAAGATTAAAGGCCACCAGCTTCCGAAACTACCCTCCTGCAATTCGGAAGACTGAATTTGTAATTAATCGCTGAGCGCATACGAGCATGTTTCTTATCTAATACTAAATACACATCATTTTTTAACTACAGAATGCATTTAAGGGCTGGGGCATCCGACGAAAATGTGGTGTGACGCCGCGAAAAACCGTTACACGCCCACCGAATTCAACATATTTGTCTGGCTAGATGTAGTGTCACGCTAATGACCGTGTTAAGTGACGTCATCAGCGTGACGAAACGTCACAAGATACCATGTCATGTGAGTACTCACGGGACACGCTAAACTGTTGCGTCACCTGGCTACGTCGAGTGACACCAACCAATTTAGCTGACCGGCCAAGGCCCGTCCGTAAAGAAAAGAGAGACACACGAAGCGATGGTGCAGCCAACCCCTTTCGAAAGTTACCCGCCGATTATTAGAGGGTCGGAGCTAGTCGGAACCAGTGCAAAATGGTGGAACTACTGAGATCGAGGAACATGCAAGTCATTCCATAAGATAGCGAACGTCGGGGCGCGGCCAACGCTAGCAGCCGACGAGCCAAACAGGCAGCGTCGAAAGTACAACGCCACTGCGCTAATCACCTTTCTCTGTGGGGGTGTCTTCGTGCCTTCTGATCCGAGTAAAGGAATAAAGTGTACCGTGACGTTGCGGTTTCAGCCCGCTATTGTGCAAGAATTCCACAGCTGCCCACGGAGGGAAAACTTTCGAAAGGGGTCTATTGAACGTTTTATCATCGCAACTTCAGCTATGTCCAACTTTACTAAAACACTAAATTAGGAAACTCGCTGTTGAAACCTGGACTGCCCGCGTCCACCGAAGGCCAAACTGGACACGATTACAGCAACGCCCCTTAGCGACGAGTCACACATGGAAGTTTGTCTATATACTAGGATGGATGGATGAATACGGCTGAGCCCTTTGGATCGGGCGGTAGCTTACGCCACCTAGCCATTTTGTTTTACCATTTAAGCTTAGAATATTCCCTAGCCACTGCGATATGGCACCACCGGCCTTTGCGCATATCGACCTGAACTAATACGTTCAGCAGTGTAGTTCTCGGAGTGGCCGCTGCGGGAGAAATGGCGGCGTTGGGATCGCCTTTAATTCGGTTAACAAGTACGGATTTGAGCCACTCTTTCAATGGCAGGCTCTATGGCAGTTTCCTAACTGAGTTGTTCTACAGTAACGTTGGCTATGTGTAACGATAATGCTTGGGCTAACTATGGCGCCAAGACAACTGGTTCGCAAAGGGATGTGCTTGACCCACGGGCCGACACTCGTCACACCCGTTGATGTCAGCCGTCGAAGCACCATACCCTCACGACCTGCTGCAGAATTCCAGTCCTGCTTCCGCCGACGCCCAGGGGTAAAAGCCCGTGGCCACTGGTGCGCCGTCTTTTGTATCCTCTCGGCTAAGAGCTTTTCCTTAGCACCGCCAGGGGTACCGAAGCGCCTCTCGTGCTTTCTCGTGTGCCTTGCTTGCCACCGGTGTACGCCACATGATGGCGGCCGTGCTTGTTGGCCGAGTCATACGTCTATTTGCAATGTTATCGTAATGACCGATTCAATCACAAGACAGAACAACGGAACACATTTTTTTATTAATCATGTCACGAGCATGCTGTGCCGATATCTTAGGATTTTTTTTTTTTTTCGTTTTGCTGTACGAAGTTTTTGGTGTACCTTTTCTTACTGTCTAGCGCTGGTATTTATCCCCGCCACTAAACGTTTTTTGTAGGGTTTGCTGCTTTAGTACATGTCATACACTTTTTATTTGTTGTTCACTGTAATTTAGGCATCTGGGAACCTATTATGAACTTTAAAAGCTTAAAAATAAATTATTTGAAGAGAAGAATTTGGGGGAGGGGGGATATAACAGTAGATACGGGCGGGAGACTATAGTCATCCGTCATAAACAGCGCAAACAATAACGTTCCTAATCCCTCACTGTTTCCGACGATGACTGAAGTTGAATTTCTCAAATCAGAGATGTCTCTGTCGAACTGACTTAGCATTTCATCTTAGAGTCTCTTCTCTTCTTCCTCTCTTCTTAGTTACGTTCCCCTTCCTCGATTCTTCCGCCTTTAATCGGTTGCTCGCTGTTGGAATTCTAATATGTGACTGTTGCTAGTTGAAAGATGAGGTTGTGTTCTCTTTGTCATGTTTCCTCTTTAATCTCGACCCGTGCCAACACGCTCAGTCAGTCAGTCAGAAAACGTTTAATGCCATAGAAGAAAAGTAAAAGAAAAGAAAGGAAGAAAAGAGGTTGTTCAATAAAAAATTCATTCATTCGTTTATTTTTGTTCCTAAACAACGATTTACCGTTTTTATGGTGCGCGCGAAACTATGCAACTTATCCAGAGCCCGAACAAGAGCGTTAGCCTTGCAAATATCAGCAGTCTAGTTCTTGTACTGAATGAAACGATGAAAAACCTACCTAAACAAGGGAACTAAACTTGCATCAAATATTGATAGAAAAATAAAAAAAGTCCTTGCAACTTTCTAAAAGCAAAATGCAAAAAAGAAAAAAAGAGATGCAGTTAAAGATAGGAGCAGTGTGAGAACTTGTGCAGAGGCGCTGGTTGTCGCGTCATTGTTCTTGTGTACAGTTTCGTGCCGGTACTGCGTAAAAATGAACACACACAGGCACACGCGCACGCACGCACACACGCAAACACACACACACACACACATATATATATATAGGTAAAGTAAGGTAAATATAAAAACAATGTACCGGGAAAAGTTAATAAGTCAAAGATGCGTGCTGTCGGAGTTACTAATTCGGAGTTTATTACGACGTTTCGAGCGCGGACCGCTCTTTGTTACCTAATGAAGAGCGGTCCCCGCTCGAAACGTCGTAATAAACTTCGAATTAGTAACTCCGACAGTACGCATATATATATATATATATATATATATATATATATATATATATACGGTAAGAAGGTTCAACGGGCCGGTTGGACGTAAAACGAAAGTGGAGGAGATCCAGGAAAGGCCTTTCTTTACTGCACCGACGTTTCAAGCGGGGACCGCTTTTCTTCAGGGTGAATGGTTGTGAAATGTCCTCTTCTTCTTGTTGATGTTCGTGTGGAAGAGGAAGAGTTACTATGAAGGGTATTAAAAATATTCAGAACAGGAGCAAAAAAATTATCGTAAATCTTTGAAATTAGTAATTATAAACAATGTTAATCCAATTCAATAAAACGAAATAAATTTATTTGTAGTATTTGGCACAGTCTTTGTTACAGCTCCTGAGCACAATCACCCCCGAGCAACCGGAGCGCACACAAAAGTAGCAATGAGGATGTGTTCGGGATTAGCACCACTTCGGGAGCGGAGATCTAGACCACGCAAGGGTGCCGTGGCGGTTTTTTATGGAGTATTTATGTCATATTTGAATGATGCTTACGCGCCCAAGAATTTAACGCAGCGGAAGGATTACCACGGGACGCGCGCTCACGAGGATGTTCACGAGAGGCGTGGAACGAGCTCACGATGGCAGGCGCCTTTGGTGCAACAATGTCATCGACACGCTCGGCTAGTACAGTCCGTGCAAAACCAAAATAATTGTGTGGCCTCGGCCCTACACACAGCGTGGCAGCCAAGTGAGCACGCCTGGACTTGCATTCACGTGAGCCTCGTGCTTCCTCGCCACACCAGTCGCCGCAGGGGCAACATGAATAGAAGCTTCGTTCGCCGCTTTAAAGGAGCGATGCAACAATTTTTGTACTGTGCACAAATACCGCTTAAATCGGATCCCTAACGTTAATGACCTAGGAAACACGCGTTCGTTTTTCACCCCACGCAATAGAAGTCCCAGAAAAAAATTTAAGAAAAACGAGCGGCGTTCACCCCCTCAACTCGCAGCCAGAACAAGCGGCCACGTGATCTGGAGCCGATTATATGCCGCCAGTGTTGATCATAGCCACGCGCAGGGGTTGGCAAAGCGCAGGACACGCGCTGAGTTCCAGACATTGTTATGGCTCGGCTGTTGTCGTCGTTGCAGCGATTGGACACGGGTCACAACCCGAATGCTTCTCGAGCTAGCAATTGTCACGAGCCCAAGTCGAGTGCCCACGCAATGCTCGGGTCCAATCTGTGAACCGCATTCAAATATCGTCACTTGGGTGTACTGCGATCCCCGAGTTACGTCATCAAATTTTGCAAAGGAGAGATTGAATGAAAATGATCGCTTTTGTCCTTGAAATTACACCACAACAAAGGAGTTTCTTGGCCAATGGTGTTGCGTGTGAGTATCCTTGAGTCCGAGGTGTGCCAGTAAGCTAGTGTAGAGAGAAAAACATTCCAATTGAATATCGTTGCACAGCTCCTTTAACTACGAAGCTCGTAACTTCAACCAGGAGATGAAGAGACTATGCTATGAAGATCTCGCGAGAGTGTACTTCATAGACCACGGTTTTCACCAACTTCCGCCATGGCGCTTTCTTGCGGCCGATGGGGTTCACACTAGTTTTGAAGGCGTCGCACTGCTGTCGGAGCACTTCAAGGCTGTGCTTGGATATGGCAGAACCAACCGGACCTCTCACTGGCTTGACAGGTTTCCAACTGCTGCTTCGCCTAGCTCGAGAAGTCACTTCAATCCATCTGGTTCTCCCCCAGCAACGCAAACAAGCCCTGGCGCTCTTCAGGCACAGCCCGCTGGTCTTGTGTCTGCGGCCGTGAGGGGTACAAATCTTCGAAGAAGCCCTGACGCACTGCGGGCACAATGCATATTACCCGAATCTTCATCTACCAGTGCCTCGGCCGCGCGAAGGAACCCCGACGATCCGGCTCCAAGTATCCCGGAGCCTGGTCCCCGGACACCGGCCAGGGTAATCGAGTCTGAGCCCATGAGTGCTCCAGCGCAGAGCCCTCTTCCTTCCACTTCGCGGGCTCCTTCGGGTCCATGCG